TGTTCTCTCTGGTCCTCATTCTTAGACCCAGATCAAACTTGCTAGGACTGCAGAGGAGGCCCTTCCAATGGGGAGCAGCTGAGGAGAGCTCCCCCGAGGGTGCCAGTGTCCTACGTCCGGCTCAACATATATATACTCGGCTGAAAAATGGGCAGGTGACCACACAGCCATGCTCTCCCTGGCTCCCTGGGTCCTGTTTCACTTCCTAGAGATACCTGACTGCTCCGTTTGTCACGCATACCTGTGCAATGTTTCCAGAAACTAGTAAAATGCCTTTATTAGTGAGGGTTCTTCTGAGACACAAAAACTTGTAATTCTCTATAAAGTTCCTTATAATCTCTTGGTAGAAATATTTACATACTTTATGCTTATATAGTCTATATCTCCTATAATATATATAGAACTATGGCTATTTATAAAAATATTCATTAGGTATATAAATATATATAAAAATCATATATATATATACACGTAGGGGCAGGATGAGTACATGGCAGGTTTTCTATGATCCGAGCAGAACGGGTAAAGGAGGAGTCCTGGAGCCCTCAGTGGCTTTTCAGGCTTTTATTGGGATTTTACTGGGTACAGAGCAAGGCAGCGGTGCCAGCAAGTCTTCACTCTTTCTGGGCTTTCTGGCATTCTCTGGTGGTCTCTGCTTCTCTTTCGCTCTCTTTTGCTCTTTTCACTCTTTCCTCTCTGTTCTGGTTCTGCTGGCATCCCCGTGATGCCACCCTTAGAAGCCCAGTCTCTCAGCCCAGGTGTACCCACTTACATATGCCCACACCCTACTCCGGGTATCTGCCATCAGGCATGCATTCAGGACCGCATATCCATCATCAATCCTAACGGCAGGAGGGCAGAAAAGCCTGATACTTTTTTTACCTTACCCTACAATATATAAATACATGTATATATAATTTCAAAATGTAAGGAATTGGCTCAAACAATTTTGGAAGCCATGGTCTCAAGATCTCTATCTACAGGAGACTAGAGACCCCCACAGAGCTGATATGTAGATTCAGTCCAAGTCTGATATAGCACAGCATGGCCTCCTGTTCCTAATCTGAGACTTCTTGGAGAAATTGAGGGTATGGATAGATGCCCCTTTCTAGCCACAGAGGTGAGAGCTGTATGGAGATACCACCAAGCCCCAATTGAGCCTGGACTCTGCTTCACTGTGTGTGCAGCAGAACTTCTGGACCGTGACCCACTTTGTGGACCGTGCTAAAAGCTGGGTTGCTCTCCCTCTATATTCACCCACCTCCCAGTCTGCACTTGGCTTTGTTCTTTCTGGAGAAAACCAAAGTACTCTGTCCTCCTTCCTCTCACTGCTGCTCTTGCATTTCACGCTGAGATTTCAGCTTCCCCCTCACACGTCCAGTTCAGGAACCCAGCATCCTCCTATACCCAGGAGACCACTCATGCTGTTTCCCAAGGTCACTGCTTATTCTTCCTCCTCTGAATAATCAGCTTCTTCTGCACTACCTTGGATACTATTGCCTCATCATTGAACACCTAATCAATCTCCCTGTCTCCAGTCTACTCTAGCCTTCATATTGCTGCTAGAAAATGTTCATAACTTGATCATGCCCTGCCCTTGATAGGAGTTTTTAAATAGCTTTTCACAAGCTAGAGCAGGCTTTTGTTTACTGTTTTCAGTTTCACTGAGAAATAATTAACATACATTACTGTATAAGTTTATGGCTTAACCCATCGAGCTGGTTTGATTTGCACATGTCATGAAATGATTACAACAATAAGTTCAGCTAACATCCATATTCTCACATAGACACAATAAAAAGGGGGGGGGAAGGAAAAATGTTCTTGTGATTTACTCTATTAAAAATGTTCCTACATATCATCGTGTTAATGATAGTCATCATGTTGAACATGACATCTCTGCTATTCATATCACTGTAAGTTTGTACTTTTGACCTCTTTCCTCCAACTCCCCTTCCCTCTAACTCTCTGGTTCATCCTGGACTTTTCACTATTACAACCATCACCATCAACTGGATTGTGTTCCTGCCTGCCTTCTCCCTACTACACTTGGGCAATTTGAGGGCAGGGTCCTGGCTGCTTTCAACTTGGTGTTCCCTGTAATGGGCACAATGCCTGACTTCCTAAGTGATGTGCTGAGGATGGATGGATGGATGGATGGATGGATGGATGGATGGATGGATGGATGAATGGATGAATGGACATGTAAATTCTATCCCCCATCTCTCAGAAAATGACCCCACTTTCCTCTAGACAGAAATGAGTTTCAATTTCTCTTTGATGGGTTCTCTCCTTACCCATCATTTCTTTGACTTTGGGTCTTGATAAGAGTATATTCAGTTCATCCTTGAGTTATTTCACCTTTCTATTCCCATTTATGTATGTTCTTAGTTTATCAAATACTTGGCGGGGCAGAAAAGCCCCAGCTTGTCATTCTGTGTTAGAGAAGGAAGTTGGAACTGTTAGCTTTTACTGATCTTTAGAGGATTTCAATAAAACACTGGAAGTGTTAATACTTCATTTCCGAAGCCTCGGGTAAACTTGGGCTGTGACTGAGCTCACATGCCAAGCCTACAACAGGAACCTGATTCACCTGGATTTGACATTTGGGGCCTGCAGAGCCTGACAAATTGTCTAAGACTGGTGTGTTATTCCTCTTTATGAAATTTTGTCTCCTCTGGCTTACAGAGGTAACTCAGAAAAGTTCTCAAAGAAGGATTATTCAAGCTGTCAAACTTTGTTACCTGTTTGAATGAAGCCAGTCAGACCCATGAACTTCCTTATTTCTTCCTATTTCATGCAGAGTCTTATCACAGTGTTGAGGCTCTGAGAAAAACCTGTAGCTCAAACCAGGATTTGTTGCTTCTGAATCAAATCTGTTTCAAACTCCACCAGTACCTACAGCTTACACACAGTGGGATTTTAAAAAACAACAGTGTGCCCTCATTTAGATGTGGTACTTCAATGGGCCCCTGAATTTTTTAGTCTTAAAGGCTTTTGGTTGAATTTTCTATGAAAATTATTTCTGCCATAGACACTGATCCCGAACATTGCCCCTTGGACCAGCCTAGCTGAACATGGCTGGAGGAAACATACAATCATGGAGATGGTCTCACTTTTATTTAATCCCCAGCAGGTCCTTAATGCTAACTGACCACTCCAATACATCATGCTTTTGCTCTCTCATGTCACCATTTTTCTCTCTCACCTAAAATTTTCAATGTCCTTACCAATGCTCACTAATAGCTGATGGGTTGTTTCTGATTTTCACTGAGACTATAGAAGCAACAGAAGAGAAGTTTATTGAAATACCATCACCCAAACTGCCACCTCTCGATCAGCCACCTGCCAGCCTCAAAGCCCATGTGCCTTGCCTTCTTCCTGTTTCTCCCTTCTTGTATCCTTAAGGAGTCACTCCAGGTATTTCCCCCCCTTTTCCTGTATCATTTTTTTCCCCTTCTCAAGAGGGTTTCTGCATCAGCACATGCATCTGCTATCATTGCTGCACATGTAGAAGCACCCTCTTTGACAGCACTTGCCTTTACAGCTGCCTCTGCAGTTCTCTGTTTCTCTTTACAGAAATAATCATCATAAGATAGCCTCCAACCTTTCTCCTTCCATGGTCCTTTGAACCCACTTCAGTCACTATACCCAAATTGATTTTTTGAGCCTCGCCTTGCTCGACCTCTGAGCAGCATTTCACATGGCTGTCTTCCATCTTCTTGAATTGTTTTCTTCACTTGGATTCTAAGAATGTGTGGTCTTCTGGTTTTCCTCATTCACAGGGACTGCTTGTTTTTAACTTTGTGTGTTGGCTTTTCCTCATTTCCCCATTTTCTTAATGGACTTCCCTGGACTCAGATCATGGGTTTCTGTTTTCTATACTATCTTTCCTCACTCCCTAAGTGTCCTCCAGGTCAGGACTTCAACAGCATCTATGTGTTGATGACTCCCAAGTCATCCTATATCTAGCCCAGATTGTTCTACTAAACTCTAGATTTATATATTCATTTGCCCATAGGACCTCTTTCCTTGAATTTCTTATTGGTCCCTAGTTTATGTGACCTCTACTCCCTCATTCTCTACATCTCATTTACTGGAAACTCTCCATCCTTCCTGTTGCTTAGGCAAAAAAAAAAAAAAAACAAAAACAAAAACAAAAAAAAAAACCTCAGTATAATCTTTGATGCTGTTTTTTTCTCTTCATTCCACATAGAATACAACAGAATGTCCACCAGGATCTACCTTCAAAACAGCCATAATTTCACCACCTCTCATGACCTCCTCAGTGACCTTCCTGGTCTAGAATCTCTTAAGTGATGGCAATAGCTTTACTGGTGTTGAGTAGCCAGCACTCCAAAGCTGTCTTTCCTATATCTGGAGAATGTCTGGAAGCCATATGCTTCCCCAAGTATCACTTTTAGCTTTCACAACCCCAGATTCATATTTATGCTGTTAGAATTGCTATCTTTCCTTAATATTCCTTAAATATTTGGATTTTTCTGGGAGAAATAGCCATATATGTATATAGATATAACATACCTAGATATGTCATCTTGTCGCCAAATATTGAGTACATTATAAAAGTGTAACAAAAACACATAAACCACTTAATAATATAGAAAATAGCAAGGAAATTAGGTAAAAAGAAAATAAACATAGGAAAAGCTCAGATAAGTGACAGGTGAGGTGAGCAGACAGATCCATGAATTCCCTCACATGGGCTGAACTTTAGTAAAACTGACACTCTCCTCTGAGGTGCTTTCATAGCCAATTTCCTTTTGTTTCAGGGTCACACAGTCATCATGAGCACAGTGACTACTTAGACTCAAGGGAGGAAACTGTGTGGGCAGGAAAAGCTCAGAGAAATAAAGGGGAGGAGATGCAGATTAGAAGTCCTTCTCACCCAACATGGGGTCCCAAACTATGCCCCATCAGCCCCTCTAGGATCCCAAACGAACACCCCCAACCCACTTTTACACAATTCACCAGGTACTTACCAAGACCCAAGCAAGAAACTCTGAGTCCTGATTTTCCAAGATTCCTAGAATAAAAATAAGTAATGCATGGTTAGTATTTCCTCAGGTGAAATAACACACTTTTAATGTGAATGTTCTTTGTCTCTTCTAAAATACTGCTCTTGACTGTTTCTCACTTTCCTCTCCATTTGACCACTAAGACTTTCAAAATGCACTCAGGAGCAGCAGAAAAAAACCTGTTGCCCCAATACCGTGTATTACTCCAAATTTTGACTTTAGTAATTTGTCTTTCTCCTTTCAGAATGTGAGTGCCTTTAGGGCAAGGTCTTTATCTTATTCCCCAACCATTCATTCATGATTCATTCATTATTCATTAGAGCCTGACATACGGTGAACACTTTGTCAATATCCATTGGCTGAGTAACTGACAAACTGAGTTCTAAAACAGAATATTATTACTAGTGCATGAGGGTTATTGAAAGAACAAATGGACAATGAACCTTGAGGCAATTAAAACTAATTTATGTTATTTTTTATAAGAGGCTCTATAAAATTGCCACAAGAAGGTCAGATAGTCCTTTTTCAATGATTCTTCTTTTCCTCATCAATACCTTTGCTTTTTATCCCCAAAAGTTTACAAGGAAAGGAAATATATGTTCACTCTGTAAAGGAGAGAATAAGGCTCCTGAGTCTTCATTGTAAGGAATTTCTCCATGGAGGCTCAGAGCCAACCAATCTTCCTGTCATTTGCCTAATAGTCCTTAGAAGAAATAAAATTCTCAGGGAGAAATGCCTCACAGGAATTTATAGGGGCCAATGTGAGGAGGTGAAGCTTAAATCATTGAAATGCATGGTAGAAAAGTATGTTGCCTACTCTCTGATAAGATGCTCTTACCAGAACCCAATTTCCCTCCCTGCTTCAACTCCAACACAAACAAACTTGATCAAGAGTAGCACAGCCCAATAACTTCAGGATCTCTCTTGATTTTTCCTCAACTTGGCTTCCCTGGAGTCTGTAATTAGTACTCTCTGTTTAGCATGCATTTCTTTCCTCTGCTTATTAATCTTGTCTACAAAATGCCATGTAGGTAACACATGAAATTTCAGAGCATAGTTAAAAGTATATCATATTGTGCAGAGTTAGAAGTCTTAGGTTTCTCTCCTATTTTTTTTTTTTTAAGATTTACTTATTTATCTATTCAAGAACTGGGGTACTGGCCAGAGGTGTGGAGGGTGAAAGGATTCAGAGATAGAATGGGGAGCAGAATGGGCAGATCTACGGAAATACACTGCTGAGAGGAGCAGCGGGTGAGACAGGAGAGGTCTGCTGCACCATGTGGGTTAATTCCCTGGTGGGGGATTGAAATTGTGCTGCAGTGGCTGCCAATAACTTCATAGTGCTGAGTCTTACTTAACCCCTTATACCACCAGGGAGGTCCTGGTTTCTCTCCTTTTGTAAGTTGTTGGGGCACCTGAGGGGAATCTCTTCCTTCATAATAGGATGGAATAGTAATACCTGGGCCATCAATGGAGGCAAACCATCATAATTTTTGGTGTATTCTAACTCTCTCTTGCAAACTCAGTGCTTAATTTTCCCATATGAATTGGTTATGTCCACACAACGCTGTGTGTGAAAAATACTTGAACTGCTAAATGAGAGAAAAGTAATTGGACCTCTCCTGTGAAAATAATTTGCATAAGAAATTGTTCTTTTAGTAGTTTCTTGCAAAACCACAGGATGTGCAATCAGATCTTTCTTTTAGTCTAAAAGTCTACTGATTTTAAAAGATCGGTATCTAGAACAAAATCCTTATATTGAGAATAGAAAAGACTACACCAAAACAAGATGTACATATATGTGATATACATATATAAAAATATAGACATGAATATGAATAATAATCTTCCAGGTAGTGATAGTCAATATTGACAAGTCAGGAAGGACTTACTGAGAGGTCCCCGGTGTTCCAGGTAATATATTAGGTCTTGGGGTTACATGGGGAGCAAGATATAATTCTCTACCCTCCAGGAATTTTCTGTCCTTTATCTTTCTGATGGACACAGTAAAAGAACAACATAATTACAATACTTCCGCATGTGACCTACCATGGAGGTTCTTAAGAGTACAAAAAATCTAAGTAAAGATTTTCATGTTACTTTAATCTCTCTCAGTGATTCTGACAACAGGGAGGGAGAAACTTGGTGCAGAAACTATGCAGAATATGACATTTTTCTACAGATTCAAACAGGGCAAGTCTGTGTAATGGGTACTTAGTGAGCAGCATCTCAATACTTAAAGTGGGAGATTTGTCCTATTTTCCTGGTGACAGTGACTTAGGAAGACAACAATCACTCTGCTATGAGTTTAGAAGACCAAAGAACCTTGAGAATCATCAGCAGAAACAAATCGCAAAGCAGCAAGTACTAAACGTGGCCTATTTTCTTACCACTGTTGTTTAAACACCTAGGCCAGCTGTTCTGAATAAAAACCTTGGAAGATTTTGCACTATAAGAAAAACTCCATAATAAACACAATACTGATAAAGGGGTATCAGGTCCTACATTGAGCCTCGGATTTTTCATCCATTAACTCTTTCTTTAAATGTTACACCCTTTGGAGGTTATAGTTACAAAATTTAGATTGCAGTTTTTTATTTTTAAAATTTTTTTTATTTTTATATTCTCCATACAATTGCACCCCCCTTATTTTGACCCCAACCCCTCCTTTCTCCACCCCCCCCATAGTGTGTCTCTGGTTTATAGTTGTTTGTTGATTTTGATTTTTTCTTTCTTATAGTTATTCTTTTCCCTGATCCCTTATTTAGGTTTTCTAGATTCCTGCTATGAGCGAGACCATCCAGTATTTTTCTTTTTCTTTCTGGCTTATTTTGCTGAGCAGGATCCCTTCCAGTTCTATCCATGTTGCTGCAAATTGCATGAGTTTATCTTTTTTGATTGTTGAGTAATATTCCATTGTGTGTATGTACCACATCTTCTGGATCCAGTCATAAGATGGCAATTTTTTAAATGAGGGACATTTTCTTGGCACAAGCGATAGCTGGTCTTTAAGTCCCTTGTGTTTACGCTGTCCAGGGCTGTGTAACTTTGGGAGACTCCTATCATGGAAATCGTCTCGACATGTGATGATATTGCTCCCTTTGCAGATGGAGAAGGTTGGAGGTACCTATTCCCTTCAACTCAGGGTGTGGAATTCCAACAGTTTCCATGATTCCAAATGGTACATCTACACCCTCATGCCCATGCCCACACCTGTGCGCCACTAAGTGGAGATTAGGTGATTGCCCAGCTACTCCATTGAAGCTCTATTGGATCATATAAATCCAAACACTTGCAAATTTGATTTTATTAATTCAAAATCTAGCATCCAAAATCTTGTTTGTGTGGCTCTCACATCCAGTAATGGCCAATGTCACATATTGCAACACTCCAAGGGATGCCCTGGAATCTTTTTTTATTCCACCCATATGGGATTTTCTCCAGTTCTTCATGACCTTGTGTGACATTGTGCAACAAAACAACTTGATGGAATTTCATTTTGTTTCTTAGTTCCTCAGCAGCCACATAAATGAAGCTACATAAAAATCATATAAACACATCAAATTTCTAATTAGATTGAATTCTTTTCCCATTTGATTCAAAATAGTTTCATTGCACAGGTTTATCTACTTTATCTGTGTCAGATATACCAGAAGGAAGTTTCGCTGTGTTCATTTTTAGTATCTGCTCCTGTTCAACTCAAAATAAAAGTTCTTTCCTGGGTGAACCTGAGCTGTTAGACCGCTAATATTAGAAGTGAATGACATCAGTATGGGGGCCTGGGACACTTAGCTTTGTCACTCAAGTTTTGGAAATCATAAATCAAAGCTTCGGTAAAGAGTTTTCTGGAGAAGAGATACAGCTACTTGAGAACCAAAGGCCATGTTTCCCTTTTCTTGTCAAGGCAGGGCTGTCCACTTAGTGAATGCATGGCTGTACCTATTTTAGGGCAATGGTTAGTTCCATGGCAGAAGCATTCAACATAATTCCTGGTGTCATTTTGTGGAGCATCCATCAGGCTCTTTTTGCTTTTAGGGTGATAATAGAGCAGTGAGAATTGAAATCAAGCATCAAGAGTTTCATGCCCCTCTGAACTTGCAATTTCTTTACAAATCAAAGAGGCTAAAAGCAGAAGATTAGCAGTCCAAATGTGTTGTTTTAAATTGCTTGCTTTAAAATATGTATATCTGAGATATTATTCACAGTTGTAAGCTGCTTGGAAGAGAATAGCTAGCTAAAATAGATGGCTTGCCTTTGACCAAGGAACAGCATATTATTTGCATGAGATAAATTCTCAAGTTAAAGGTCAATACAAGAGGGACCAACTGGAAGCATATGGAAGGGTCTCCAGTTGCAGAAACAAGTTTTATCTGACCTGGTTTTCTTGTACTCAGATCTTTACATTATCTGCTGCCTCCCTCTATTTAAACACCTTCCTGATTCCTCTAAATCATACTCTAATATGTCTAGTGCCTTACCCGGAAGTTATAAATCTGGGGCACAGTGTTTTTTTGTTTTGTTTTGTATTTTTAAAAGAAATGTACATTATGCTTTCTTAAAAAACCCCAGAGCAGAAGGCATGTTCCTGGAGCCAGTCCGTTGGTTTTGATAGTCTATGAGCACACACATTTTGACAGCCATGAAGCTGACTATAAATGTTGTGACGCTTTCTCATGAGGGCACCATTCATCACTGTTGGTAAATGAGTGATATCTCATTTGGAAACCAGCAGGCACATAAATGATTTGCCCATGCATTTAATGACAGACATTGACAAGTAGCAAAATGAAGCATTGTTTCATTCATACCTTTATTTAAGTAGTAATAAAATGAAATGGAATTCTTTTTTTTTTTTTTTAGATTTATTTGTTTATTTATAAAAGCACTGGATACAGTCAGCAGCGCTGGAGGGTGAGAGAAATCACCAGAGCCAGAGTGGGGAACAGAACAGGCAGACTTGATGAAATACACTGCTGAGGGGAGCAGCGGGAGGGCAGGAGAGGTCTGC